ACCCCACACGCTCGCCGTCTCGCGCCGCCCCCACCCAAAAATCAACCAGGCGTCACGACGCCGCACACCGCCATGGTCGGCTTCGAGGTCTCCACCCAAGATTACAAAAAGCTCAAAAAGCTTCCCGCGGCCCAGCGGCGCGCCAAGATCGCGAAATGGGCCATCGGCGGCGCCGCCGGCGTCGCCGTCGTCGCCGGGGTGACGCTGGCCCTCACGTTCGGCAGCCTCGCCAGCAGCGTCGCCAACACGCCCGTCGGGGACGCGATGACATCGGTTGGGGGTGCTGACATGGACTCGATGATGCAGCTGTTCAACAACGGCGGGGGCGACTGCTGCGGCGGGGACTGCCCCGCGGAGTGCCACGGCTGCGCGGTGTGCTGAGCCGGGCTGTCGGCCCCCCGCCCCGTCGCGGCGACGGGCGCGCTGCGACGGGGGAGGGGCGGGTCACCGTTTGTGCGGCGCCGGCGCCGGCCGGGCGACGGCGCAAGGGGGTGTGGGGGGGGGGCGGCGGCAGGGCGGCGCGGCGCAGGCAAGGGGGGGGCCCCGTTGGGCCGCATCACGACTCTCAGCCATCTTGCGGGCTGAGGCCCGGCGTCCATGACTGGGCAGGGGCCGCCCTCTACCCGCCCCTCCTTAAAGCATGGGCGATCTAACGGCCGCGCCCCACACCCTGGTTGCGCCCCCCGTTGAGGGGCCCGCGGTGGGGCGCGGCAGCCGGGCCTGCCTCTACCGCAGGCTGCCCTTGCGGTTGCTGCCCTCACTGCGGGAGCTCGCCACACCGCGGCTAGGGCCGGAAACGCTCCCCCCTCCCCCTTGTTTGGGGCGTCGAGATTTTTAGCGCGTGGTGGGCTTGCGCATGACATTATTGCTGGAGCTGTCGCGAGAAAAAAATCATATGCGTGCGCGATGTTTCGAGGCGGCGCCTGACATCACAACGAAGCGGTCAAAAGCGGTGGCGCGGCAGCGGGGCCGCGGCCGCGGGCGGCGCGCCGCGTGCGTGCGCGCGTGGGCGCCCCTCGCTCCTCAGAGAGCTGTCGAATAGGGGCCCCCGCCGCCGCCCGCAGGCGGCGCGTCGGGGGCGCGGCGCAATAAATTTGCCGGCCGCCGCGACGCTGGACGCTCGTGGGCGCCGCCGCGTTGCGTGTGCGTGTCTGCTTTCGATTGGCGCGCGCGGTGATTGTGTCTATTGGCCTTTTCAGGGGGCGTTTCAACAGGGGCGGCTCCCCACCCATCCCAAAAACCAGGCCGCCCCGCAGCGCCTCGCACTTCAAAGCAGGGCCGAGGGCGGTGGCGAGGCGTCGCCATGCGCGGGCCAGCAAAAAAAAAGTGCCACCGGCGGCGGCGCGCGGCCGGCGGCTGCGGGGC